CGTTGAATATTATTTATGATTTTAACTTTATACACAAGTGCCAAAATACTATAATTATACATGTACTTTTTTGTTGAAAACAAGATTTTGTCAAACAGAGAAACACCATTGAAAGGGTTTTAGATAAGTTTGTTGTTTATGCGTGTAGTATTCTGCGGCTAATTACAGTGTTTTATTTAGAATCAAGTTTTTTTTATGAAACTTTATAAAAACGTCTTCAAGGATTTTTAGGGTTAGTTGGTATCTGCAGCTGATCGTGAATTGGCTGGAGCGCCCTTTATGGATTTTATCTGCTATAATCGCAAGACATGTTTATCATAGGAAGGTGAATAATTAGAGCTATAAAAGAAAAGTTTGATATGTACTAAAGTGAAAACACATGAAATCTAGCTTTGAGCCTGTCTTTACTTTGGATCTTTTTCAAATAATGAAATTCATTTCATACATGCGAACATTTGACTTTTTAAATTTATACATTTATAGGTTGCAGATTTTTGAAAGAAGAGCAATTTTTCGTTAACGATATAATTAATATTTTTACCAATTCATCTTCACGTTAGAAATAATATAATTTCTACCGGATTCCTAAGTAAAAAAATCATCGTTAGAATTTGCACCAAACATTAATAACAGCTTTCCATAAAAGATATACAATCAGTTCTTTACAATCTTCAAATGCGAAAAGAGTGGGGAGAATTAGATGATGGATGACAAGCTAAACCGTGAGAAAAATTATCCAGGACATTAATCATCCCAAGCTTCATGTAGCCAATGATGGAACTGTACATCCTCCAACGCAGGGAATGTAAAGGAGGGACTTGATTGAATCAAATTCAAAACCGGGAGTTGATATACTTGTGTACATTAAAAACCTCTGCCGACTAGAGTAGAGATAAGTATGAGAAATTATGGATTCTTTTTACTGCTCAGTGAAACGTTTCTATTCGACATGAAACTAAGCCGTTTCACATAAAGTTTCAATTTTAGATTTGATCTTTAAGAACAAGAAAAAAAAAGGAATTTTAGTATTTTTTGAATTTGAAGTAAAATGTTTAAATTCAGTATTTAAGGCAACTAAATTGTATGAAGAAACAACAAAAATACATGTAAAAAAATAGCGCGAATTAATCAAACGAAATGTTATTGTGGTTTGAGGTTGAGATGTACTTATAATATCTATACATTTCGGAAAAAGCCAGAATACTTTTTAAGCTGTAGAAAACATAATTAGCTAATCAATATGGCCCAATGTCTTATGATTTTGTCAATAAAATAATCAAATATCTTGATCTAAATGTAATGTTTACTATTTTATTTGCGTAAGCGCAAAGATAAACAATATGCTATATTGCATAGGCCACCACAGGGATCAAACCCCGAACTTTAGCAGTATATGTCCTCAATCTTTATGCTGAACCACCGATAGGCAATTTTTACAGAAAGTAATGTTAGTGAAGTAGAAATGAATTTTAGTAGCAGTCATTTCTGCCACAAAACGAGGGGATCGAGAAGCTCTCTATATTATTTTTTATCATTACACTCATCCAGATCAAGTAGATCGCTTTCTCTTTCTTCGATACGTGAAGACAGCCGTGATATTGTCATGTTATCAAATGTTCTCTTTCTTCGATACGTGAAGACAGCCGTGATATTGTCATGTTATCAAATGAAATTACAAATGATTAAAAACCAACTTCAGTCTTGTGATGACTGCTAAAATATGAAAGCTACGTTAAAACTTTTTTAAGAGAAGTAAGTATTAAAATTGAGTCATCATCTATGATCGTTTTTTGTTTTCCATTCCGCGTTATCAGCCTCAAATAATGTATACAGTGTACAAACATAATGTTTCTTACTATCTGGCGGTGGAAAAAACTTATATTTTTTCATCTGTTTCCTCATAACGTTTAATTACTTGCATCAACTTCGTGATTTTTTTCGTTTAATATGTGTTATTTTATTTTTACTCTTACCTATTTACAGTAAGCTCCACGGATATTGCCTCAGCACTGTGAAGGTAAGGGGTGGATAGAGAGCGTTATGGTGGTGATTCATCTGCCCAGGTGGAAAATAGCAAGTATCCTGCGGCGACAGACTCCTGATTCCCTGGATTCTTTAATCACGCTTTACTCGAGGCTGAATCAGTTCTGTGTAAACATCCCCAGTGGCAGTCGATGACGAAATATTTCTTGTTTGTCTGTCCTAAAATAATAACAAAGAAAGAATATTTGAAGGATTTCTTTGTTAAAATTATATAATATTTAGTTTTAGCTCAGTATTAGATGAACCAACAAATTAAGTAGATACTTTTTTAGTTTGATGACATTAAATATTCAAGGATTTGAATTTCTGATTAGATGAATACTTATTAAATGATATATTAATAATAAGTAATAAAATTAACGATATGAATTAAGAGATAAAGAATTTAGAAACTAGAGTGATAATTTCTGTTGGTACAACAAGTGTAGACCTGCTTGTCTTGATAAGATCGGAGTGGTACCGCCTGGGTTGTTTGTAACACTGAAGTAAATTTGTCTGTCTTAGTTGTTAGACTGAAGTAAATTTGTCTGTCTTAGTTGTAAGACTGAAATAAATTTGTCTGTCTTAGTTATAAGACTGAAGTAAATTTGTCTGTCTTGGTTGTAAGAATGAAGTGAATTTGTCTGTCTTAGTTGTAAGACTGAAATAAATTTATCTGTCTTAGTTATAAGACTGAAGTAAGTTTGTCTGTCTTAGTTGTAAGACTGAAATAAATTTGTCTGTCTTAGTTGTAAGACTGAAATAAATTTGTCTGTCTGAGTTGTAAGACTGAAATAAATTTGTCTGTCTTAGTTGTAAAACTGAAGTAAATGTGTCTGTCTTAGTTGATAGAATGAAGTGAATTTGTCTGTTTTAGTTGTTAGACTGAAGTAAGTTTGTCTGTCTTAGTTGTAAAACTGAAGTAAATTTGTCTGTCTTAGTTGTAAAACTGAAGTAAATTTGTCTGTTTTAGTTGTTAGACTGAAGTAAGTTTGTCTGTCTTAGTTGTAAAACTGAAGTAAATTTGTC